ACAAACCTGCACTAGTACCCCCAAACTTAAAATGAACATTAAAAAATAGAAAAGAAATAATAAAATCAGAGCAGAAATAAATAACATTGTAATTTAAAATACAAAAAAATCAAAGAAACAAAAATTTGGTTTTTTGAAAAGTTAAAATTGACAAAGCTTTATCAAGGCTAAGAAAAAAAGAATATCTAAATAAACATAATCAGAAATGAAAAATTACAACTGATGCTACAGAAATTCAAAGGATCATCAGTGGCTACTATAAGCAACTATACGCCAATAAATTGGGAAATCTAGAAGAAATAGACAAATTCCTAGACACGTTGAACCTGGTTCAATATTGTACCAGGAAAACAAAAATCCCAAACCTGAACAGACCAATAACAAATAATGAGATCAAAGCTGTAATAAAAAGTCTTCCAGTAAAGGAAAACCTGGGACCCAATGGTTTCACTGCTGATTTCTACTGAACATATAAAGAAAAACTAATACCATCCTACTTAAACTTTTCCAAAATAGAGAAGGGAATACTTCCAAACTCATTCTATGAGGTCAATATTACCCTGATGTTAAAACCAGACAAAGACACATGAAAAAAAAAAAGAAGACTATAGGCCAATATCTCTGATGAATATTGGCACAAATATTTGCAAAATATTAGCAAACTGAGTTCGAAAATACATTGGAAAGGTCACTCATGACCAAGTGGGATTTATCCTTGGGATGCAAAGATTGTTCAACATATGCAAATCAATCAATGTGAAACATCATATCAACAGAATAAAGGACGAAAACCATGGGATCATTTCAATTGATGCTGAAAAGGATTCAGTCAAGTTCAACATCTATTCATAATTTAAAACCTCTCAAAAAAACTAGGCATAGAAGAAAACATACCTTAACATAATAAAGCCATAGACAACAAACCCACAGCTAATATCACACTGAGTAGGGAAAAACTGAAAGCCTTTCCTCTAAGCTCTGAAACATGACAAAGATGCCCATTTTCACCACAGTCATTCAATGTACTACTGAAAGTCCTAGGTAGAGCATCAGACAAGAAAAGAAATAAAGTCTTCCAAATTGGAATGGATGAAGTTCAAATCATCCTTGTTTGCAGATGACATAATCTTATATTGAGAAAACCTAAAGACTCCACACACACAAGAAAAACTATTAGAACTGAAATTCAGTGAAGTTGCAGGATGGAAAATCAACATAGAAAAATCAGTAGCATTTCTGTATGCGAATAGTGAACAATCTGAAAAGAAATTTTTAAAGTAACCCATTTACAATAGCCACAAATAAAATTAAATGCCTAGGATTAAGCAAACAGAAAAAACAATCTCTATAATGAAAACTATAAAACATGATGAAAAACATTGAAGAAGACACCAAGAATGGCAAGATATTTCATGTTCATGGATTGAAAGAATTAATATTATTAAAATGTCCACATTACCCAAAGCAATATACTGGCATAAAAACAGACACATAGACCAATGAACCAGAAGGAGAACTCAGAAACAAATCCATACACCCACAGTGAACTCATTTTTGACAAAGGTGCCAAGAACATACAGGGGGAAAAACAGTCTCTTCAATAAATGGGGTGGGAAAACTGAATATTTATATGCAGAAGAATGAAAGTAGGTCCATATCTCTCACCATATGCCAAAACAAAATGAAAATGGATTAAAGACTAAATCTAAGACCTCAAATTATGAACTATTATGAGAAAAAATGGGGGAAATATCTAGGACCCTGGCCTGGGCAAAGATTTCTTCAGCAATACCCCACAAGCACAGGCATCCAATGCTAACATGACAATGGATAACATCAAGTTCAAAAGCTTCTGCACAGCAAAAGATATAATCAACGAAGTGAAGAGACATACCCACAAAATGGAATAAAATGTTTGCAAATCACTCATCTGACTAGGAATTAATAACCAGAATATGTGAAGAACTTAAACAACTCTATAGGTAAAAATAATCCAACCAAAAAATGGGCAAAAGATTGGAATAGACATTTCTCAAAAGAAAACATACAAATGGCAAACAACCATGTGAAAAGATGCTCAACATCACTGGTTATTAGAGAACTGCAAATCAAAACTACAGTAAGATATCATCTCCCTCCAGTTAAAATGGCTTTTATCCAAAAGATAGGCAATAACAAATGCTGGAGAGGATGTGGAGAAAGGGAACCCTCATCCACTGTTGGTGGGAATGTAGATTAGTACAACCACTATGGAGAACACTTGTAGCTTCCTCAAAAAAAAACAAACAAAAAAAAAAAAACACTAAATTGAGCTACTTATGATTCAGCAATCCACTGCTGGGTGTACACCCGGAAGAAAGGGACTCAGTGTATCAGAGAGATATCTGACTCTTGCTTGTTGCAGCACCATTCACACAGCCAAGATACGGAAGCAACCTGAGTGTCCGTCAACAGATGAACAGAGAAAAAATGTAGTACATACACACAATACGGTACCATTCCTGTAATAAGAAAGATGAGGTTCTGTCATTTGCAACAACATGGATGGAACTGGAGATCATTATGTAAAGTGAAACAAGCCAGGCACAGAAAGAAAAACACTGTATTTCTCACTTGCTTTGAAATTTAAAAATCAAAACAATTGAACTCATGGATCATAGTGTTTGGGGATGGTTACACTACACATACAAGTAGTTGGGGGAGATGGGGATGGTTAATGGGTACACAAGTAATAGTTACAAACAATGAATAAGACAAATAAGAATTCATGAAGCAGAACCAGCATTTTACAGACACACAAAGTTGGTCAGAACTAGCACTGTTTGAGGATTTGTTTTTTTTTTTCTTTTTCTTGCTTTTTTAATAGAGACAAGATTTCACTATGTTGCCCAGTCTGGCCTCAAACTCTTGGGCTAAAGCAATCTGCCTGCCTCAGCCTCCCAAAGTGCTGGGATTGCAGTGTGAGCCACCGTGACTGGCTGGGTTTGAGAATTTCAATGATATGATGATAAAAACCTGACTATTTTTCTTAGATTAGACTATATCTCAGCAGCACACTCAGGCATCTGTCAGCTGCTCAGTACAGAAGCAGATTGGCTGCCCACACATCTGCATTCCTGAGCATGTTGCCACTCCTGTTTCTGCTGTCTTTGGCCTTCTAGAAAGTTGTCTTCTCCAAGGTTGGTTTATCCAGGAGATACTTGGAAAGTGCCCAGAGTCCTCAAGTGAAATAAGGACATCGATTCAATCCCAGCTGGACTGCTTCCCCCATACCTCCCAGATTATAAAGGCTGTATGAGGAGTGTCCACTTCAGAAGTCCCATTGCCTCCATTCTTGGTCCCGTCACTTGGAACATGAGACCGTATCCACCTTGAGTCAATTCCAGAATCCTAGAACAAGGGGTCCTTCTACCTTTCTATTTCCATTTCTACTTTGTCCCATAAAGTGAAAGGAAATGTAGCCACCCTTAGGCTAAGTTCCATGTTCTCTCCTCCATAGATGAGCATCCACCATCCAGAGACCCGATCTCTCCCAGGAAGAGCTGTTACAGCCGAGATGCCCATGATTGAAGGACTCCTACAGAGCACACAGCAAGAGTCACTAAATCTCTCCATAAGGAACAGAGGTGAGGGGTGGGATGCTCAATGATTATTTGGGCTTCAGAACTCTATCTAAGTCTGTTCTTATGAGGCCTTCCCTAAACCCTCAGGCTGGACTAAGTGCATATAGCTTTCCCTGGCCCACTGTGTTATCATAACCCTTCTCAAAATACATTGAAATTACATTTTTTTCTCTTAATCCTTACTTCATAGCCTGCTAATGCTTGAAATGCCCAAATGCTTTCCAAATTTTTAATTTGGGAAATTTTCATTTTTAAATGACTAAAAGAATTTTAAA